AAATTTATCTGACAAAGCAGCAGCTCTCATTTACAGTCATCTCGTTCGGTTCGGTACTTTTCTCCTCTCAGTAGGGTTGTTTACAGCACACGCGATTTCCGGTTAGCTTCTTAGCTTAGCCTCCTTCACAACGACACACACACACTTAAGGGCTCGACACACGGGCAGCGACAAACTACAGCGATTAACGGCTGTCATCGCAGCCAGGGTGAAACCCGACACACGGGACGCGATAGCGATTGCAGCGTTGTAAATCGCGCTCTCAGGTCGCTTGTCTTCACAAAATTTGATTGGTTCTTGACTCTGAAGGCGGGTGTACATTACGGACGTGTAAACTAAACAAATCTTGTGATGCTAATGACACTGAAAAACAAACACACTTCAAGATACAGTTTTATGAGGAAAAACTTACCATAAACTTCACCCTGGTGCCAATAAATTCCCACAAAGCTTTTTAATAATCACTTCGTGAAAGTGTTAGCTAACGGCAGTGTGTAGCATACTCTCCTCTCATTGGTCAGTCAATGAAACCCTCGCTGATTGGTTGTACGCTAAGCGACAGCGACAAAAGTTGAATATTTTTCAACCTTCATATGTCGCGTCGCAAGCTCGCGTGTGCACGTGTACGAGCGTGAAATTTCACATGCACCATTTTCACCGGTCGCTTAGCTGGAGGAGAGCGAGCGATTGTCGCCTCACCGCACAGGCTCCATAGGAAATGAATGGAGAGCGAGCGACGTCGCCTCCCGTGTGTCGAGCCCTTTAAGCAGAGGCCACGCCTCCTGCAAGAAATCGATTCGCTATGCATCAAGTCCAGACCCTCGTACGAAGCAAAGTGAGGGACAGAGTCTGGTTTTAACCAGGCTAGTAGGGAATATGAATGGTTAAATTAAAACATTTCTGTGCATGAATATGTTTTAATTACCTCGCAGAGAACCACCGCGGTTTTTAGGGGGAAAACGCCACCAAACCCACTTGATTTTAATAATTTAAAATCAGATGTTAAATCAGTTCTCAATAATACTGAATGTACGAGTCCTTTTTCAGTGTAAGTGACGAGTCACGCACAATAACCAATACCAGACACAAGTTATGAATTTAAAATATACCGTATATTTTAAAGATTCAGAGATAAATCACTGATGTTTACAAAGTCACACATCTTAGGATTCTTTTTCCTCACATCAACTACAGTGAATTTAACGTCATTTATCCACAACTGCCTACTGATCCACTCAGATCCTTTAATTACTCTACAGAATAAAGCTCCTCTGTTCTACTGAAAAGGGGAGAGTTTATGAGAAAGAGGATAAAATATTCGGCCAAGTCCTGGATGATAATATTCACAACTTTAGAGTCACCGGCCTGGCGGGTCTTGCCTGAAAAGAGACAGTTTCTCCTACCGGGACGGGAGATGTTCGAAAAAGATGTCTGTGTGGGTGCTTAGGTAGCGTCCGTGCTAACAACCTGTTAACGGGGCCCGAATCTACGAAAGTCCCGTGGCCCGCCTTCAGCTAACCGTAGGCGCGTCTGTAGGACAATCCTTCAATTTCCAGTAAGACGCTTCAACTGCCCTTTAGTGCTGGGAGCCCAGTCGTCACAGTTATGAAATAAAATCATTATCAAAAACTTCAACCAAACTTGAATCCTTTTCTGATAAAAGTTACAAAAATGAAACTACAAAAATAAAACAACAGAGTAAGAAAAGGGCTCCTCTCCGTTAAGGAGGGTCTAAACTGAACTTCTTCTCTGATCTCAGCTTGCAGCTTCAACTCAACTCTCCACTGAAGAAACTGCTCAAAACAATTCATTTTGTGTGTAAACAAAGGCTTCTGATTGGCCCAGAAACGTCCTCGTGGGTGGGACTTAGCTTTCGCGGACCAATCAGAAAGTCTGCTTCAAGTTTCTTTATAGAACACAAGATTACACTGCTGTGTAAAAATCAATATTTGTTTACAGAATCTCTGAGTGGATCAGGTTTTTTTAACAAGGTTGGTCACAAAACTAATTAAATCAGGACAAAGTATAATCTCTACTGACGGTTCGGACGTTGTTTTAACAGAGTTAAATCAGGATTACATCATGAGTAATTACTGTTCGATGACGAATGAAGTTGTTGGAATGTCTCTGGATGTTTCATCTGCCTGTTTACCTCAGCAGCCCACTGTCTTTTCACAGCTAGAGTGCTGATTCAACCCTGGCTTCGGAGCCATGAAGTCTGGCCCTCTTGGTGTCCTGAATGGACATCAAAGTGTGGCTGCTCTATGTCCCTGTAGTTAAAACGGCCAGTTGTGACAGTTCAAAGGGTCGATGCAGGAATTTAATCTCAAGGAGTGTCTCTTTCTGTTTACATGATATAGGAAGTTTGAGGAGCGAATGTAGATAACAAACACAAAGATCAATGGGCCTCATGCAAGAACCGTTGGTACGCACAGATTTGTTCTTAAGTTGTGCGTACGAGTGATTTAGGAGAATTTGTGACATTCACCAATGTTTTCATATTCTAAGATTT